AAACACTTCAGAGATAAGCCTTACTATGTAGATTTACTGGATTTGTTCAATGAGGTAACTGACTAATGTGGACTTCATTTGATCATATTTGTTGTTTAGATATCCTAACTTTATTCTTGTTGTGTTTGTAGGTTGAGTTCCAGACTGCTTCGGGGCAGATGATAGATTTGATTACTACTCTTGAAGGAGAAAAAGATCTGTCAAAATACTCATTGTCCCTGTGAGTTGCATGTTTTGTAGAATTATTTGACATTAGCACTGTACAATATATCTGACCGAACAATTCTCGGGTGTTAACTATATTTCCCTTCTTTGTATAAAGAATACCAATAAAGACCTGTACGAATTGTGTACATTTATGCATGTTTCGTGCAGCACTAGACAATGGGAGAAAGAATTATATGTGCTACTTGTAACCTGTAGGAATTGTGTAAATTTAGTGCTGTGTTTGGTGCAGCACTAGACAGTGAATAAAGATTTATACATACCACTGGAGACCTGTAGGAATAGTACACGTTTAGTGCATGTTCGGTGCAATATTGGGTAGGACCGGATTTTCTAGTAACCAAAATTTTAACTTCTTTTTCTATCTTAAAACTGTTCAGTATTATTCAATCCTCTCTACCAAACATGATATAATGTCTTCAAAAACTTCATCGAAATTATGGGTCTATCTAGATTTTGTTATTTACGCAGTTCCACACAAGTTTTTTTCATTTTAACTCTCTGAGATCTTATATTAAGGCACTTGTTTTGACAAATAAGTGGTAATGTCAGCATTTCAATGGACCTCAGACCTGGAATGCATCACTTAATTTCCCAATTTTCTTTTTCCTTTTTTGTTTGTGTAATTAATAAATTGAACGTGTTGAATCTTTTGCAGTCACCGGCGCATTGTTCAGTATATAACTGCTTACTACTCATTTTACATTCCGGTGAGTAGGGAGGAACTTGTTTGGATGGATCCATTTCTCAATATTGAAATGAAATTGTAGTTATTGACTGGTTCATATTTTATGTTCCCTTTATGTACGCAGGTGGCATGCGCATTGCTTATGGCTAATGAGAACTTGGACAACCATATAGATGTGAAGAACATACTTATCGACATGGGAATTTACTTTCAAGTACAGGTGAGTTTTTCCGTTTTGTCTTTAGTAGGTACAAGATCTATTGTAAACTTAGCAATACAAGTAGATTCATTATCAGAAACTTATCCGGTTTGTATCTATTAGGACGACTACCTGGATTGTTTTGGCGACCCTGAAAGGATTGGGAAGGTGAGTTCCTCCAGGCAAAATTTTCCGTCGTATTTAATATTTTCAACATTTTGTTTGCTGTTAATTCTTACCTCATTGCTTTACATTATCAGATTGGGACTGATATTGAAGATTTCAAATGTTCTTGGCTGGTTGTAAAAGCCTTGGAACTTTGCAACGACGAGCAAAAGAAAATCTTATTCGTAAGACAAAATTTTCCCATATACATACGATTTTTTCGCCATCAGATTAAAATATGTTCGATTACAACTGCATTTGTTGCAGGAGCACTATGGAAAGGAAGATCCAGCTGATGTTGCCAAAATCAAGGCCCTCTATAATGACCTCAATCTGCAGGGTGTATTTGCCGAGTACGAAAGCAAGAGCTACGAGAAACTCACTAGCTCTATCGAAGCTCACCCGAGCAAAGCCGTGCAGGCTGTGTTGAAGTCCTTCTTGGGCAAGATTTACAAGAGACAGAAGTAAGAGAAGAGTCCTGAAATACAAGAATGATTGATTATGTGTTTTGTTTTGGGAAAAGGAAATCTTGGAATTGAATTGTCTAGGCAATTTTTTAATGAATGATCTTGTCTCCCTTATTGCTGGGTACGATGGCTAGGTGATATGATATTATTCAATTTTATCATTTACATCTAACCGCTCTGGAGACGATTATTGAGGCTTTAGATCGGATCTCAACTTGAGTTCGCCTTAAGCGTATATTTAGTAGGATAATAATTAGTGGGAGAGATGTAGAAATGAAGCTAAGAGTCACACATCATCGAGCGATAAAAAAAAATCGATAAAGAAAATAATAGGTTAACTATAAATTATGAAAAATAATTTTATCTTTGAATTCATTGGTTATTTTTCTTTCTAGTACGTTAGGCTGAACAATAATATATATAATAATATCGGTTGTTTTGTCAAGTATTGTAAATAAATGTACGACCCTTTTTTTCTTTTAATTTTCTTTTAATCAAAGTACGTATTTCTCGTACAAGAATCGTCTTTCCAAAAAAACCATTAAATCAGCGAGAAATATTCCTAGTTTTATATGTAAAAAACAGCCACAAGTTTTCACCAAATAGCTTATCTCAAGTCACAACTAACTTATGTCGCTATTTATTTTAATGGGGTCCTCTAAAGCTATGATAGATTCAAATGGTCCAATTTGAGAGAAAAATCAACTCAAAATGGAGCCACCTTCCGCTATTCATGTCAGATTAGTGACACAATATCGAAAGATGGCGAAAAATTTCCACAAATGAAACTCGGATTCAAATCGCTAATTTGATAATTCTCGTTCTTATTATTTGAACTATACCTTGATCTCATAGAGAGATGCTATCATCAAATACTTCGATTAAAAAAATATAATGGATTTGGTTGGTAATTGGGAGAAAACTAAAACAAATAAAAAGAAACAGTTGACTTTTAGTAAAACACTAAAATTTGAGGGTTCTTTTTATAATTTAAGAGAAGTAATATGGAAACTTCTTTGTGCGTCTTCGCAATACATAAAAGGAAAGCAATCGCCTTCTCTGACTTCACATTTGCTGACATGGCAGTAAAAGTCAAGATTTTGACTTGAACATGATCTTTTTTGATAAGCTCATTTGACTTGCAATTATCTTTCATTTCATTTAATTGACATTCTTTATAGAAAAAAAAAAATGTCATTTTCAACTCTTATCACTTCTTCCTCAATTTCATTCTTACGCATCTCTTACTCTTTTTTTAATCGTACATTCTTTAAAAAATCACTATTACTCTCATTATATATATAGAGTGTGTTTGGTAGGGATTTTTCGAGGAAGAATTGATTTTTGAATAGTGATATGATGAGAAATGTGTTGTTGAAAAAGAAGAAAAAAGTTTTGATGTGATGGAAAATATTATTTTATTGAAAAATGTGTGGTTGAAAATGAGAATTGATTTACTGTAGAAAATGAGAATCTGTACCAAACAGGCTCATATATTAGTAAGTGGATTATTTTTATTTTCTCTCTCTCATTGTCCTCCTAGGAAATTTCCTCCAAGCAAGTCATTATAGCACATTGGCAATTCTAAGCAACACAGTCAATTAAATTCGATATTATAAAATTTGTGGTTGAATTCAATATTTACTAGTTATTGTCGTATTACTAAGTCACGGAGAATATACATTTTTTTCTTGAGAATAGTGCACTCCGATCATTAAAATATGAGTGATATTATTTATTATCATGATACTGAAATATTGGTGATGTGACAACTCAATATCTCTTACATATCTCTCTCCCTCTCATTTCCCTCTCTCAGAAAAATTGAATTGTTCAATCTTATTATTCCACATTTCACCGATGTTTTATCACCATAATAATAAATAACATTATTCTTTATACAACGATCAACTTGTTTAAGTGATTGACTAGTTAAAAAAAGACCTTTTTTAGAGTATTGTCTTAAATCTTAATCCTGTTTGGTGGAGATTAAAATCAGATTTTTAGTAAATTTTGATAAAAATTAATGAAATGTGTAGTTGAAAAATTGTGGAACTCATTAAATATGTGGTTAAAATTGATTGTTGACTCTGATTAAAATTAAAATTAAAATTTAAACATTACCTAACATGGGCTTCGTAAATGTCGAGATAGCTAGATGCTTTTTTTGAGTATTGTTTTGGTATATATATTGTTTTCTAAAAGATCAGAATAGCGTATCTTAAAAATAAAACTAATAAGAAATACTTTTGATCAGTATTGCGAAATTCAAATTTTATATACTCAAAATGCACTCTATACGCATGGAAGTGTACTAACGAAAGTAAGATTTGAACTAGTTTTCTTCCATTATTTCCTCTTAAATTTTTTTATTGGATCGCTTTTTCGCATTTGAGAAGGTAGAATATTTTTATTAATTTATACAAAGTGGTAACATAAAAAAAAATTATTATATGCACGCCCAAATTGACCGCTCTAAACTCATTTTAATTGTCTCAATTCTCAACCTTAAAAAATGGTTTTCTTGACTTCTCCAAACTATAAATTTATGGCACGTTCTGTATAAAAGGTTAAGATAGGCACTGTTCGGTCGGGTCAGCCCAAGACTCCAAGGTTGGAAAAAAAATTTCTGATTAACGTACTTAGAAAATTAAAAAACAATCATCAACCAAAAACGCGCTGATGCAGTTGAAAGAGAGCGGAGAAAAGTCTCTTCAAATGTTCCTACTACCCTCGCCTCCTTCCCTCGTCTATGAAAGAAACAGAATTATTTCTATAGAGACTCACAAAGTTGAACTTTGTTTTCTGGGTTGTAAAATATACTTGCTTTCTTGAACATCCATTTTGAGTTCTTGATATTTGTCAATTTTAATCACATTCTTTCATAATCAATTCCCTCTGTATTTTTTTGAAATTCCAGCTCGAAATTTGATTTTTTTTTCTGTTATTTTCCTTAGAAATTGGAGGGTTTTTCCTTTTTACTCGATGATTCAGACTTTAGGATCCTTTGTTTCCTTCTTCCCTTGTTTATATTTGTATTATCTTCCAAAGATTTGATTTTAGAAGTCAATTCTCATACTACTCTTTAGTTCATTGCATTTAATACATCTGTTTTATAATCAATCGTTTTACACAAAATTCAATACTTTTTTTGTTGTAAATTAATTTATCAAACTGATCAGGGTTAATACTGTACTGATTCTTGCTTAATATGAAGCTTTTAGTACGGGTAATTGAAGCAAAAAATTTACCAGCAATGGACCCAAATGGGTTCAGCGATCCATACGTGAAGCTGCAGTTGGGAAGGCAGAGGTTCAGGACTAAAGTTGTAAAGAAGTGCTTGAACCCATCATGGTGTGAGGAATTTACTTTCAAAGTTGATGACTTGAAGGAAGAGATTGTAATTTCTGTATTTGATGAAGATAAGTACTTAATCGATGATTATATTGGGTATATCAAAGTGCCTATTATACGGGTTTTCGAAGCCCATGAAAAATCCCTTGGAACTTCTTGGTACACATTGCAGCCTAGGAATAAGAAAGCCAAGAATAAGGATTGTGGTATGTTGTTCACTTTAGCTAATTGGGAGTTAATGAGTTGTTCTTGTTATATATTACTAGTAGTATTTAATGACAATAAATGCTCATCAAGAAATTTGAATTTGCTTTCTTACATTTCTTTGATGTGATGATAAGATGAAACATTTAGACTTAAGTAGCATCCTTTATGGAAGAGTTGGAATCTTGAAATTCATTTCTTCAACTATAAATATTTTATAAGCACCTATTTAGTTTTTCAAGGGTGTGTTTGTGTATAGGAGGGTGGGCTTAAATTGCTCGTTAGTTACTTGTGAAGCTATTCTAGACATTTGAATATTTTTGTTGTTAAGACATTTGACACTGAGGTTTGAACATTGAAAATTTTAGAAGAGTGGTTTGGTTGTTTTGAACTGACTTTAGACATTTAAAATGGATCTGCACGTTTGAGGTTGCATCATTGAAAAACTTAATGGTTTGACAAACAGTTATGAAGATTGAAGAATTGTATCCTATGTTTCTAATTTGTATTTAAAGGGTACTTAAGAAGTCTTTGAGTTCAATCTTAAGTACAGATGTGTGACATTTTACTGATGTATCTAAGAAATTATAGATTATTTACAAAGTTTCTATCTTGCTAGCTTACTTTCTTCAGCTTTGATAGTCCAGTTTCATTTTGGGAGAATTCGGATTAAGAACATTCAGAAAGTACACCCTCTTTTATTCTTGACTAGTTAGATATTGTATCATGAAGTGTAATCAAATGACACAGTTTGTTGTAATCAAATTGAATTCATCATGCTTACGCATCCTTCAATTATCATTGTTGCCTTAAGGTCTTGAATTAGTTCGTGATTTGCCGATTGACATTTATTCTTGTATTACACTAGGTGAAATTCTTCTCACCATATGCTTCTTGCAAAATAATTCATTGTTGGACTTGCCGTCTGGTGGTGATCCTGTGTCATCACCAAGGAAGTCTTTTGATATAGCAATGGACTCTCCTTTGAGATCTTCCCCATTGAGATCGTTCTCACCAATGAGATCTGAAGAAGTTTCAACTTCTAAGGAGGACAAGTCACATCCGTCAACTGTAGCACATCGAATTGCCCAAATATTCAACAGAAATGTTGATACAATGCCCACTAACTCAGCCGAATCACCAAACGTGACAGAATTATCAGAAAGTATAAATCCGGTTGGTTTGGGGACCAAGTCTGAAGAGCAGTCCTCATTTGGAAATTTTGAAGAAGCAATGAAAAGCTTGGAGATGAGAGAACAAGGAGGTGAAGTTCCTAGTAATTTACCTGGTGGGATAGTTATCGACCAAGTGTACGCAATTGCACCACGTGAAATGAACTTGTTACTTTTTTCACCTGAGTCAGACTTTTTGAAGTCCCTAACAGACATGCAGGGATCCACTGAGTTGCAAATAGGACCTTGGAAATTTGAAAATGGTGGCAACAGCTTAAAAAGAGTGTTTACTTATACTAAGGCCGCAAGTAAACTAATTAAGGCTTTGAAAACTATTGAGGAGCAAACATATTTGATTGCTGACGGGAAGGCCTATGCAGTTTTATCCAGTGTGAGCACTCCAGATGCTCCATATGGGAAAAGTTTTAGGGTAGAAGTGCTTTACTGCATAACACCGGGACCTGAGCAGCCCTCCGGAAACCAGTCTTCTCAATTGGTAGTTTCATGGCGTGTTAACTTTTTACAGAGTACTATGATGAAAGGTATGATTGAAGGTGGAACACGACAAGGTATAAAGGAAAGCTTTGAGCAATACGCAAATCTGTTATCTACTAAAGTAAATCCTGTTGATGTTAAGGACATAGGTTCGGAGAGGGATCAACTTTTGGCATCTCTTCAGGTGGAGAGCCAGTCAGACTGGAAATTGGCTGTTCAGTATTTTGCTAATTTTACTGTAATTTCAACTTTTCTTATGGGGTTGTATGTGGTCATGCATATCTGGCTGGCAATGCCTAGCACAATTCAGGGACTTGAGTTTGTTGGATTGGACTTGCCGGATTCCATTGGCGAATTGATTGTATGTGGAGTGTTGATTTTGCAAGGCAAAAGGGCCCTTGAGTCTGTTTCACGCTTCTTGCAGGCTAGAGTGCACAAAGGTAATCTAATATCATTGCTGATTCAGTTGAGTTAAAAGTCAGGGTTGTCTGTGATTATATGAAGTTTTAGCTTTCTGGTTAAGTCAAATCTAGTTTTGTGTTTATTGCATTGTTTATATTTTCTCTGTTCTTGGTATTTAAAAAATGCTAATTGTTCTGAATAAGTTAACATGGTTCAGTAATTTTTTGTTTATTACAGGCACCGACCATGGGATCAAAGCACAAGGGCATGGTTGGTTGCTAACTGTTGCCTTAATAGAAGGAAGCAATTTGGCAGCTGTTGATGCGAGCGGGTTCTCTGACCCCTATGTTGTGTTTACTTGCAATGGGAAAACGAAAACCAGCTCTATCAAGTTCCAGAAAGCTGACCCTCATTGGAATGGTATTTCTGTTATTTCTTAGGCATTTCAAACTTTGCGTATGACAGCATTTCTGGTGTTTGCATCTTGATTGAACTAATAACTTACTTTAATAACTGGTTGGTTCGTCACTGGATTAATTTACTTCTTGTGATTGTGGTGCCGTGCAGAAATCTTTGAATTTGATGCAATGGACGATCCTCCATCAATGTTGGATGTGGAAGTTTTTGATTTTGATGGACCCTTTGCTGAAGCTACATCTCTTGGACAAGCTGAAATCAATTTCTTGAAATCTAATATATCAGACTTGTCAGACGTTTGGATTCCACTTCGAGGAAAGTTAGCTCAGGCATGCCAGTCGAAGTTGCATTTAAGAATCTTTTTGGATAATACCCGGGGTAGCAGTGCTGTCAAAGATTATATAACTAAGATGGAGAAGGAGGTGGGAAAGAAGGTAATGTACCTAGTACTCTGCCAAATGGAATTCACTTCACAATTGGTTTACATTATCTGGTTGTAGCGTCACCTTTTTTTAGCTGTCTTATATGGTGAACTTGAAATTTGCAGATACGGTTGCGATCTCCTCAAACAAATTCATCTTTCCAGAAACTCTTTGGGCTTCCCCCAGAGGAATTTCTCATCAATGATTTTTCTTGTCACTTGAAGCGCAAAATGCCTCTCCAGGTACTTAATTTTTAAAAGTCATCTGCCCGTAATTACAAAAATTAGGTAATAAACACTTGCAAATTGAGGACATGTTGCTTATTCTTGTTTGTGTTTATAGTGCCTGTTTGAGCCCATTGTTGGTGTATAATGCATTTTTGAAATAGGAAATTGATGGGAATGTATGGTTAAAAAATAAAGAAAAGTTTTGGGTTTGCGTGTAATATTATTTTATTGAAGAATGTGTGGTTGAAAAGTAAGAGAGAAATATGTATTTTGAAAATAATGGGTATCAAACAAGGGCCTAAGTTATATCTTGGTAACTGATTATTGCTCCGTTGGCAGGGCCGTCTGTTTCTGTCAGCAAGAATAATTGGGTTTCATGCAGATATATTTGGACATAAGACAAAGTTTTTCTTTCTCTGGGAAGACATAGAAGACATTGAAATCATTCCTCCTACTTTGTCGTCAATGGGCAGTCCAATCATCATCGTGACCTTAAGGCCAGGCAGAGGTTTCGACGCACGGCATGGAGCAAGAACACAGGACGAGGAAGGCAGGCTGAAGTTTCATTTCCACTCTTTTGTGTCTTTCAATGTGGCGAACAGGTATTTTCAGATATAAATTGGTTGTGTTTCTTTGTGTAAACAAGTCTTGCCCTATAAACTCCATAAGTCGTGTTCCAATCAGATACTGAAAGTCATCTTCCAAGATCTACGATATTTTGTGTTTTCATAATTTTATCGGCCATACTATTACCCTTCTCCCAGTGTATAGGTAATGTGTAGATGGTTTATTCAACTATACAAAACCAAAAAAATAATTTGGACATGGCACTTTTTCCGACATGTCACTGTCGTATGGTTTTCCGACGGCAATGTGTAAGATGACATGTTGAGCTGGACAAAATCAAAAAGATATTTGGACTCACCACTTGACATTTTCGACACGTGTTGGAAACTGGCTCGCCGGTCCCTGGAGGGTGTAGGTACATCCTAGCTTTTCACCCTTAGTAGAGTTCACATTTGATAGGACTGTCATGTCTTGCTCGGTTGCTCCTTATTTCATCCTAAAGGTGTGCTAATTTGGTCTTCAATTTATCATTCCTTCACATAAAAGTGCGTCAGTCCAATCCACTGAAAAATTTCAGTATCATTCTTATGAATAGCATACCATTAGCTTTAAATTTCCTTCACTCGGCTTTTTTCTGCCTAACCTTTGCTCTTTGCTAGCCTCGACTGTGGGTCTCTGAGAGAAATAAGTCTAGCCATGGAATCAAATTGTCTTTTAACTTGTATGTTGTGTGGCGTTCAGGACAATCATGGCACTATGGAAGGCAAGGGCATTGACTCCTGAGCAGAAGGTACAAATAGCCGAAGAAGAATCTGAAGATAATAGCCTCGAAACATCTGAAGAGGAGTCCACGGCCAAAAACCTCCAAGGTAGCCTCCAACCAATAGACGAAGAATCTGAAGCCAAAGGCCTTCAAACTGAGGAGGCTGGCTCCTTCTTGGGTGTCGAGGATGTTAATATGTCTATTGTTTATTCCTCGATCCTCTCTGTTCCAGTAAGCGTCATTCCCCGTCGTCCTTTCTTGACCCAATCTCTTATCACATTTCGCATTCTTTTGCAGTTTTTTTTTTTTTCCTTTTTTTTTTTGGATCGACTGCCTCAGAATTATTGTCACTTGCCATTTTCAGACTAGCTTCTTTATGGAGCTATTCAGAGGGAGTGAAATCGACCAAAGGGTCATGGAGAGAGCTGGATGTTTCAATTATACTCACAGCCCTTGGGAATCTGAAAAGCCTGATGTGTATCAGAGGCAACTTTATTACAAATTTGAAAAGCGTATATCCCGTTATGGAGGTGAAGTGACTAGCACTCAGCAAAAGTCTCGTCTTCCGAGTAGAAATGGTTGGCTCATAGAAGAGATCATGACACTCCATGGGGTTCCACTGGGTGATTATTTCACTGTATGTACACTAGCACCTTTAACACGCTTTATAATATTGTGACGTGTATTCCGTGTTTTTTTTCTTATTTCTTCTCATGCAATACAGGTCATTTTTTAAGTTAAAAAAAAAAAAAAAAGTTACTTTTCCGGAGTACCTATTGGCATATTGGCAAAAGAAGTAATTTTTTTCCAATTTTGACCAATGAAAAAGATATTTGTTTTGTAACTTATCAGTAAACTTTTTAAGCTTAACCAAACATTCCCTATGTTGCTGACTATTATGCTGTGCTTATTTGCAGCTTCATTTGAGATATCAGGTTGAAGACCAACCTTCTAGATCAGTGGGATGTAGTGTTCAAGTTTACTTTGGGATTGCTTGGTTGAAATACACCCGACATCAGAAAAGGATTACAAAGAACATTACTTCAAATCTTCGGCAGCGCCTAATGGTCATGTTCAGTTTACTGGAAAAGGAATATGTGTCTGGGGCTTAGATTATGAATCCAGACAACATTGGTTTCAGTTTGGTGAATTGAACCGGTAAGAATCCTACGTGGCTTTCATATAGGATGGTCAAGATTATCCCCTTTTTAATACTCTTAGTGCAGGTTTGGAAATGACTGCGTATTATAATCTCTTTCCAATGTTATCTAATCCTTCCTACCAAATATGTCATTAGAAAACTGCTGTACCGATTGTATGTAGATGATAGTGTCAGCATCAGTTAGAGATAGACTGCAAATTATAACTTTAGGAGAAATATAGTCGACTTCTATACGAGAAGACAGGCTACAAGACAGCAGCTATCACTCCTCGAAAGTCTATTACCAATGAGACGCCAACTATATATGTGGACGTGAAATTGTTGGTGGCAATCTCAGCGGAATTTGTATTCATTTTCACGATTTCGGATCAAGGCAGAAACATGCCTAATTTTGGTTGGACATGTCAAAATTCTGTTTTCTAACAGATCGGTGATCTTCTGTATATCAGATGTAATAGTATTAATACAATTTTAACCTGTATAATTTTTCTCTATTTTTTCCCTCATTTTTGGTTAGTCAGTAAGTACATTTTGACATTAATTAGAGTTTTTAAGTTTTGAGTCCAACACCTGTGACTTCAATGTAATTTTAACATTCAAATTTTAAAGAAATTGTTGATAAATTAAGTGTTTGAATTTCTGCTTATTTTGGTGGTTATCGAATTCTTGCAAAAACTTTCTTGTTTTTCTCCTTTTTATCCTTTTGTTGGTTGATGCACAGATGCTGATCCTTCTTCTTCTTGAGGGGGCTGGTTTCCCTACCTGAGTCTTAAGAAATAATCTCTCCCTACTGTGTAATTTGTTAAGTTCGAGAATTTACAGCATAACCAAAATGGTGAAATTTTATTGTCATCTCCACTTCTACCTTCCTATATGTACTCTTGCCTAAAGCCTAAAAGCAAGAATTATAGCCAAACCAGTAGATGATATATGATAGAACCAGATGATAAATATGGCACAACTATAGCCACAAAAACAAGTCTGTGTACTGACAGTACATGCAACAGTTATGTAACTAAATTGTCATTATATAACTATTCTTTTAATCGCGGTTAACATACTCACATTTCTGTTCTATAACTAGAACCACCCACCCCACCCCACCCCGCAGCGTTGGGAAAGTGATCCCATCTTTAACATCAGAAGAAGTGACACAAGAATACTGATTAGGACTTTGAGACCATTTCCTCACGGGCCCACTAAATTACCCAATATTTAGAAGCAGATTAATCAACCATGGAAATGTTATAACACCAAGAGGGATCGTTGTTTGTTCTCTTGGTTGGCCTAAATAGTAAAATGGGAGATTTACTACTTCCATTTCGAACCAAGATGCCGAAGGACTTGATAATATTGTCGAGGAGAAATAATCTTATAAACTCGCAAAAATATATGTACGCACTGGACACTTGTACCTAGAATATGTGCAGTATTATAATATCGTTGTCTAGAAATGAATCATACGGTGCAGAACAAGACAACTGGCAATATGACTGAAGGAAAATCAACTATGAAGACAATTGTAAATCCGTAGAGGAGATCTTTCTATCTGGTCTTCATCGTAGTTCTAGTTCAAAAACCTGTGTCTATTCAAGAACACAAGGCATCGAAAGTACGGATATTTCATAGCCATGTCACGCTTATTGTCATTAACAGTGAGGCATGACAAAAAATGTAAATTAGATGATCAAATTCAAGTTGAGTAATCAAGATAAATTGAAAATATAACTTGATTGACAAGCAGCAATTTTTCTTAAAACTAACACCTAGTCCCGACTATACTTGTATATACATAAACATCCCCAAGCAACCGAAACTTGTGAGACAATTCAGTAGTTTCTACAGTAGTTATCCAAAAACCGAAAAGAATCCGGCAACAATAGATACGAATCTCACTTGTGTATGACCATACGTACAATGCCCAATCAGTCATGTGCTCGGCGATCCTGCTCCTACATTGTCAAATGATGTTGCATGATATGTTGCACGGGAGAAGAAAAGCCCGATATCATCGTTCATATTCTTTTGCTTTTGCTGCAGAAAAAGAAGACTCGTTTATATGGAAGGGAACTTCTGGCCATGAGCAAGAAAGAGTTTCTCTCTTTATACATAAGTTAGCACAAGCGTTAGAACACGAGAAATTTATTATTCTCGCATTCCCCACAGGCTCCTAATAGTAGTTTGCAAGGTTTTATAATAAACTTCATCTTTCCAAATAAAGCCCGGAAACTGCTGTTCAGTGGCAGCTTGTACGGCACAAAGGGTCATAATCATATGGATCTCCAGCTTTCACATAACGCCCCTTGACACGTTTCCTAACGTCAGCCATGGCCTTGCGTTTAGGGTATCTTATCTTTTTACCAAACCTGTTCATAATTTAAAAAAAAAAAAAAACACTTTATTCCTTGAACAACACAGTAAAACAGGTAGCAAGTCTCGAGTGAAATATGTAAAGGGGTGAATAAAAAGATGATGCAGCATAGAAATGGGAACTATCAAACAAAAGAGATACAATAAGCACTTTCATGATATCAATAATCAATAAGTTGGTAAACTCTCATATTTAGAGCATGTCTGAGCCCACATTTTTAGATGAAAATGCATTTTGAAATAGTATTTTGATAGAGAATGTGTGGTTGAAAAATAAGGAAAAGTTTTGAGTTTGCATGTAATATTATTTTATTGAAGAATGTGTGGTTGAAAATAAGAGAGAAAAATGTATTTTGGAAATAATGGGATCAAACAAGGGCTTAATAAAAAATTCATCTGAAACAACTAAATTCCATATCCCAAATCAATAATTCTAACAAGAATAGTTAAAATCACTTTCAGAAAAATCCTTTTATATTAATTATTCAAAAGAAGATTTTAGTATGTACAAGTGCTGTATTTGATAAGTTTAAAGAAAGCATATGCAGATTTGTGTCATCATTTTATAAAGAAAGTGAACGAACAGTATACACTTGTCCTACATAGGAAATTGAACGAGGGTGAAACACAAATGTCAACATAAAATGATACAAATCCAGCTTAACTTTATTGGTCCTTTCAAATTCTAGAAACAAATCATATCTCTATCCCATTTTGGACCAGCAGCACGGAACCATCAAGGTTTTCCCACCTTCAATATAGGATGCTTTCCTTCCACCAATTTGGAACAAGAATAAGAACATATTTTCAATTTCTTTGCATGCTTAGTATGGTTAAGAATAACGATGATGAAAATAATGACAAACAATCAAACGAAACAAAAGATTTTTAACAGCAACTCAGAAAATGATTTCCAATCAGCTTTTAAATCTAGAACAATAAACTTATCTAAAGAATTTTCCAGGGCATAGATTAAGTTTGGCATGTTCCTTGGATCAGTTTGAAGGTTAAGCAACAAATATATTTTTCCTCTCTCTCCCTAGATTACAAATTATATAAGAGAGTAACTGTACTTCTGCATTAGATAAGAAATTGCATGCAGATTCTAATTTTCCACATATTTGTCTATGCTCCTGTAAGGGGAAAAGAAAAACACTTTGATTCATTTCCTGAAATTTACTTACTTGCGTAACTTCTTTTTCTCCATGTACCGCAAGACAGCACAATCCCTGCTGGCCGATGGCAACTGACTTTCCGGACAGGAGATAAGGTATTGAGGTTCCCCCAACATAAACATTGAAGACATGCCACACTCTTGGTAATCTCCCGTGCTATTCTCACCAGTCTGGCCAGAGAATGAAAATGACAGATTAGAATGTGCTTGTCTTGGAAAGCCATTGTTTGGATCAGTTCTACAGCTTGTCACAGAATCGGCGACTACTGGATTGCTGCGTGCTGCCTGCATTGTTTCAAGATGTGAGTGAGACAAATGATCCTGGTGGGAAAGAAACATACTTCATCAATAAAGCTCCTGTGGAAAATAATCCAACTGATACTTATAGCCTAGCTCTCAATATTTACACGGGAAGATTGCCATACTTGATGAAAATGCAATGTTATCAGTTTGCCAAGACTTTGCAGAACGTATTAGCATACCAATGTTGTCAAGACCAAGTGAGAAATGTGTACACTCATGGCCTATGTCATGAAAAAAAAAATGAAGATTATGAAAGCAACAATGCCCTGGTCATGCTTCCCATCCTCTGAAATAAAGTTTTATATTTTCCAAATTTCAAATTCTTTCTCCTACTAAAGAACCACAAAAAAGTGCCTGCAAGTTCCTTCTTCATTAAGTCTTAACATCCAAAATCCTACCCGTAATGTGGTCAACATGGAGAAAAATCAATTCCAATCAATCAATACTGCCACTAATCTCAGCTTGCCCAAGCTTTCTATTTTCACTTCGTATAGTAAAATATTTGTTCAACTGCATTCACCAAATTACTTGCTATGACTTTCATTCTCCTAATTTGTGTCAGGCATAAAGCAGACATTTATAAAAAATCTAAAATTATCAAATATCAAGAATTAGTTGAGTGCCCCTAAAATTATAAATTTTATGATATGAAATTTTAACATGATGACTCAGGCCTATATGGAGTAAAAGCTTAATTATTATGATCTGACTTCAAAGATATGAAGTACCATCAATCAGCTCAACATAATCGGATCAAAAATAAAAGATCTGAACTATCTGAACTCCTCTAATCTGACCAAACTGTTTTTGGAATATTATCCAGTCACGAGAGACGATTATCATTTCTAGATTTCTTTCAAAATAGACTTAAAAATGAGCTGACAAGAAGAGTAGAAAGCATTCAGGAGCCACCAAGCTTTTAACTTTTGCCACCTCTTTATCACGTTTCACATTGGAACCAACATATGCAAAGTAGGAAAGAACACAGACATTAACGTAATATTTTAAGTTTTGTTTACCATGAGTTTTTAGGGAACCTATACATTATCTATAAACAGTTGTCAGTAAAATCAGCTGTCAGATGCCTACTTGTCCTGCACTTTTTGATCTTCTTCAAGCAACAGCTCAAGGGATAAAGTTCCTATAAGATGGAATATACTACACGTGAAAATGTCTGACTTTTTTTGGATGCAGTTGGGTGCCTGAGGAATTGACTTGCCTTCGAGGCTTCTTAAGCTGCATCTTTACTATCAAAAAGTTATTGTGCTATAGTCACTTACTCAATCTGCATGATCTCAAGTTTGCAATAAACCCTGTAAAACTTCTGAAAAGAAGTTCAATTTCTGAAATATTAATTTTTACTTTTTGTTTCTTCAGTGAAAGATGATTTTTAAATAAGAGGAACGATAAAAACAAACATTAGTTTGATGACATATTGATATGTAAATATGAAAGCTCCTATATCACAAAACTGAATGAAGGAAATATTTCGGATTATCATGCCACGGCCCACACACAATTCACAACTACAGTTAATGGTCAAATGCCAAATAATGCAGTCACCATGCAACCCAATAACAACTTCATTAGAAACCCTATATCCATGTCTACATGTTCAGGCCATTGGAGCATGTCATTATTGCATCTGAAATAATAACCCTTCACTCTATAACTCATGAATAACAGAAGGGCAACTTGTAGAATTTCTAACCAATAACCTAAGTCAGTAAGGAAAAAATCAATGTTTTCTAGTTATGGCAGCAAAAGTGTTATAACCATTTAGAACACTGATTTAAGAGGAAGACGTATATACCATGTCGACCATGGACCATGCAGGGAAAATATCATGAAACTTCACAATTGAAGGAGAGGGAGATCAAAAAATGAAAAGTGAATCAGGAAAGAAAGAAAGATAACGAAGTAAATCATATTGCAACCTAGCAATAAGTTAGCAATAAGTTATGGAGCAAACCTTATTGATTTCAGCACAACATAAAGTTGGATTTTCAAACAAGCTATCTAGTCCATCAAACTCGAAAAGCTGTTGCGGTGTACCAAGTGATCCACCAAAGAGCTCTTCTAAGTTATCAAAACTCAAGTCAATATCTGAGAAGTTGAAGTCCTTGTAGAGATCATCAGCGGAAGCAATGAGACCATTTGTGCTAGACAAACATGCCTACGTAATTATCAAGCCAAACAATTTGCACTAGAAGTTAGAACTCATTAAATAAAGTATTATAAAAAAAAAATGCTGCCTTTATGCACTTTCGTAAAGGAAATACATATATAAAACAATTACCTTCAGTGAATAGAGATTCCTAAACAAAAATACATAACTAAATACTAATGTGAATGGTGTACCTTCACCAGAACAACCAGAAAAAAATAAGAACTTTTGAAAACGAACAGTGTGGAGTCATCTCAAGGAGATTTCCAGTTAATTTAAGGCAAAAGGTTTTTATCAAGTCCCGTACACACAAAAATAGCAGGGTTGTCAAGTCTAATATTGTTTTAGGTTAAAATAATTCTTGATTCTAAGAGAGGGAAAAAAATTTATGACCACCCTCCATCTTTTCTTTAACTTCTTAAGTTTATAAAGAAAATTACTATTGATAATTTAAAAATGCTAAACGAGGTAACTTTTTTGTACCCCTCCATCACTTATTTTATTATTATTTTGAGAAAATACTTTACTATGAACAAGTTATGTTTTATTTCAATAATACTTTTTCTCTGAAATCCATATTGATCTGTATTTGTAGTGACAGCCGCGTCCATATATGTAAAAGCACAAAAACAATTCAGCAATACTTTCCGGAATTGGTTGACAAAATAGTTTAAAGGGATAATGAAGTTTGTTACCTACAAGATGAAGGATACTGATGGGATGAGACATTAAAAAGCCATTACAGCGAAGTTTGATTCTTTTGAAACTTTTATTGGAATGGGGGTAGACAGAGATGAGACTACAGTCAGAGTCAGGGTATGAGCTACTTTATTATTTGGTTGTGTTTCACGAGATTCTGGAGTTGGTTAGAAAGAAGATTTAGTCGATGGTGGAGGTAATACTAAATTGGGAATGCACTGTTAGAAAGCAGACCTACTTGAAGCAGGAAGAGTGGTAATTGGGTTGTAGTAGAACAGTGTGCACGAAGAGGGAGGATAGAGAAGACACTTGAATGAAAAAGTTCTAAAATTGATACTCTCTTTAGTCATTGCACATTTAAATCTTCTAGAGGTGTGGTGGAGCTTTGGGCTTTCTTGCAGCATTTCATTCAAAGACATAGCAGACTAATGTACTGAATACAAGCTTGACATTTGAAGACTTTTGTGCTTTCCCTATCACCATTTATTTAACTTCTGAAAATCTAGCATTCGGTTCAGCTAGGGTTTTCCCTTTTTTGTTTTTTTGGTGGTCTGCTACCTGGGCTTCATAATTGATTGCAACATGAGCTTTCCAGTAAAATCCACAAAAACGGAAAGCTCGCCAAAAATAAAAAACGTACCAGCAGTTAAGAGTAAAATAAAGAAAAGAGAGGTCACATACCTTCTTAGCAATTAGCCCCCAGTCTACCAACAGCAACAGCCAAAAGTAGCATAAATGCAGGGGAATTGGACCTATTATAGGACCAATTCAGACTAGAAAGATTTTTTTTATTAATTTTTTTTTTTTTTTGAAAAACAAAAGCATAGGAGAGACACAATACCGATCTATATAATCACCTTGTATCAAAAGTAAATTAAATGGATGTAAGAAAAAACATTATGAAAGACAGTAATTGTCTCTTGGCATTTTTGCTAGAAAGAGAAGCATAGAAATTTCCAATGAAATTATAGCTCTGTTTTATGATTAAAGAAGAATTGGGATAGTGTTTATAAATATGCAGCATTATGAAATTTACTTTCATTTTTTTTCTAAGGAGTGGGTGGGGGTAGGGTGGGAGTGTAAGAAAACAAAATCATACCTCAACGATATTATAAGCCACTAGAAGCCAATTAATGGTATAAGCAATAATTAAGTGAACACATTTGAACAAGCGATCCATTCCCCTACAATGCTGTTGGTGCACCATCGTTGAGTACCTGATGTATTGAAGCTGAATTGCTATATACAAGAATCATGAATCAGAAGCTACCTTCTTGTTGAGAAGACCCAAGGATTCATTTCCACAAAATCCATCAGCATCAGAAGTCATGGGATCCATAGCATCCTCTGTTCTTCTGTATTCAATAGGCATAAGTTGACAGTGCAACAGGCTTTGATCTTCCTTTTCCAGACTCATTGAACCTATTTCATGCTTACAACTAGAATCATCCGTCGAAAAGAATGACCAAATCCTTGAAAGCTCACTCGCAGAAGGGCATCCAGAATAACAATTGATTGTTCGCCTTTTGTGCCCTGTATCTGAAGTAGGGTCTCCATGTACATTCCAGTTGCAATTTTGACAAAGTGATACATTCTCTGTGATGCATCTGACTACAGCAGGCTGAGAATTGCATCGCTCACAGACAAGTGTCCTCGAATGGCGCCTGGAAAGAGCATTAGCAGAATGAATGTTCCAATCACACGTTAAACATAAGTAAGCATCATCTGATCTACAATAGACCATGGATCTCTGCTCCGAACAGAAGTCACATAATTGCCCCATTTTTCCAGCCACTGCAACTCTCACCTGCACAAGCACACTAGTTATATTTATTGATACATGCATGCCTATCCTAGGAAAAAAGTAAATTAGCAATTTGATAGACATCTGCATTCAGCTCAAAAAAGCAGTAATTAAATATAGGGTTGTCCGTGGGTCGGTTCGGTTCGGTTCTGAAGATACCCGAACCGACCCAAAACTTTCGGGTATTTAATAAATGGACCCGTCGGGTCCAAATATAATTTTGGAACCGTTCGGGTTCGGTTCCGTTCGGTTCGGTTCGGGTCGGTTCGGTTCCGTTCGGTTCCGTACTATAATCAAATTTTTTAATGGTTAATTTCACAAATGGTCACTGAAATTACGTCAAAATAACAAAACGGTCACTGAAATTCCAAAATTGCACTAACGGTCACTGAAGTATCACCCAGTTTCAAGAATGGTCACTGAAGGACCAAATGAGTTGAAGCGTGAAAGATGAGGACCTGCATTGCAAATTTGACAAAAGCCTTCCTCCTCAATTTTTTCCGGCAATTTTGCAACCAAATTCTGGCGAGCTCCGACCACCTAAGCCGCTGGAAATTAGAACCGGTCGAAAGCACTCCTCTTCCTCTTCAATTAGCATCCAACCTCTCCCAATTTCATCAAGTTATGTAATCGGAATCGATGCTCAAAAGTTCACTGCCGGAAAATCTAAAAATGGCCAATAACTCGAGCTCAGGGCGAAATTGGCGAAGACCCATACCTGGGCAAGCTGCGCCAGGTGAAAAGGATTAAATTCCCGGTGGTCGCGACCCATGTCTTGGTCGGACGGCGCCGGAATCTGGGTTTTTAGCAGACCCAGTCGCGACTCATTTGGTCCTTCAGTGACCATTCTTGAAACCGGGTGATACTTCAGTGACCGTTAGTGCAATTTTGGAACTTCAGTGACCGTTTTGTTATTTTGACGTAACTTCAGTGACCATTTGTGAAATTAACCCAATTTTTTAATATTTACAGCAACACTACATAAATACAACTAATGACATTTCATTCGTAACTTTTACAAATTAACGTAACCCAATTCAAAAATATATAAATAACTAGCCGTCCAATAAGATTAATTCAGTGTATACAAATACCAAAAAGTAGATATTAATATTACAGCAAAACTACATAAAGTATATTCATTTGCTTCAAATTAAAATGGGCTAATGAGTTTTAAAAATGATTTGGCCTTTAAAATTAAAATTATGAAATAATCTGATTTATTTAATTAATTTGCTAATTTATTTAGAAAAAAATAAAATAATTTAATTAATTCAATATAAAAAGTAAAAAAATTATTTAGTTTCGGTTCTTATTCGGTTCTTCGATTCTTGGTCTAGACCCGAGACCCGACCCAAACCCATCGGTTCTCGTTTTGGGTACCCGTTCGGGTATTTAATTTATGAAGAACCGCTCGGTACGGTTCGGTTCGGTTCGGTCCTATTCGGTTCGGGACTTTTGGACACCCCTAATTAAATATTGAGCATGGATCCAAAGTAATGGGAAAATATCGTGTTCTACAGCTAAGAGCAAGTTTGGCTATGATAAAATCATTTAGAAGTCTACTTCTAAGTTTTAATATAGATAATTTTATTATTTGGGTAAAGTTAGCAATAAGTAAGTCACTTATTTTGACAATAATGGAAGAGTTTTGTTTCTATGCAAGTAATTAATTAATTATTTTACCCATAGGTAACTTGTCCAAACAAGCTTGTAAATGAAAAAATGCTAAAAGAAAATCCACAAGGACGGTTGTGTTATCTAGAAATTATATATATGGAATAAAGTAACAAATTCTATACGAAGAATAATTCTCAAAGGCACTGCAGCTGCAAGGAGGATTCTGAGCTACGTGGCAGCGCGATAATGCAAATCATTCAGAAATAAAATAAAATTGATCTTTTCATGAAAAGTTGCGATCTTGAAACTGTCTTGCAACTCAAACTTAATTGTTTGGACCCAACCTTTGATTTTTATCAATTACAAAAAATAGTTACTTTTAATTGTGATTTACAACAGTAGTGCGTGTTTTATTAATTTTTCAGCTTTCCATAGATCTTGAACGCAGTGAAAAGTTGTTTGTTTCGACCCGACCTTCGAATTTTATCAATTAGAAAAAACGCAAAATATTTCTGTGTTAACTATGAATACAGCAACATGTGATTTATTAATTTGCAGCTTTTCGTAGATCTTCAACAATAAAAGAAAAAAAAAAAAGGAAAATCTGTTCTGTCATACGAAGAACAAAACAATTAGACTCGATTCAAAAGTGAATAATTTAAACAGTGATTCTTACTATTAAAAAAAAAAAAGGGAAAGGTGCAAAAAAAGGAAAAAAAATTCAAAGCACGTAATTACCAGCTCGCGAGGTTTCTCGCAACAACAATTGGGGCAAAATAGCAGAAAAGCCTCCAAGTAGATGTGTAAATCAATTCACATATGTTTGTAGAAACAGGAGTATATATTATACAGATAGCTTGTGTGTGGAGGTAGGGATTTGGAGCGAATCGAAAAATGAATGGAGGAGACGCGTACGGAGCTCTGTGAGTTCGGGTGGGATAAAGTGCAAAAGGCCGTGCTGACAAATAAATACACAGCCCTTTATCCTCTTATTTTACTGCACTTTTTCTATTTGGCATCGTGCACTTTTTTGCGTCATCACCGCACGTGTCGACTGTAGGCGTACATCCTCCATAACTGAAAATGAAATCAGAGGCGTATACAAGGATGTACTCGAGTCCTAGGACACACTTGACTTGGCCTGTGTTCCCAAGCAGATTCGATTTGATCCTTCGATTCACAAGTCAAAGTCCAATAGTTCAAAAGTAAATGCAGTATGAGTCGTTCCACTACATCAAAAGGATGTACCGGATGATTTCAACATCCATGGAGAAAAAATTATCCTCAATTGTAGCCTCATCTCTAGTGATGTCAAGGCTCGGCCCTTTAAGTCACGAGCTGAGCTCGGCTCGACTCGTGGAGAAATGAGCCAAGAGCTCACGAGCCGAGCAGGCGCGTTGCTCGTTTGCTCATGGGCGAGCTCGGTTCGGCCCACGAGCTCACCAGCCGAGCCGAGCCGGATCGTGGCTCGTTTATTTATTTATTTATTTATTTTTTCTTAGCCTTTTTTTTAATGGTTTTTTCACGAGCCCACAAGCGCTCGTCTCCTTAACTAGCTCGGCCCGGCTCGTCTAGCGAGTGGCCCGTTCGGCTCGTACTCTGGCGGCCCGAGCGGCTCGTGGGTTGCTACAGTACGAGCCGCTCAACTCGATTGTCACTACTACTCATCTCTGTGCCCCATTTAGTAATCAAATCTATAACACATCTCAACCTTGCTCGGCCACGAATATGAGCTGACAGAGAGCGTCGATGGCAGCCACGGATCTTCAAAATTTTGATTCACGAACCATCCCCACAACCACTTGATCATTTGGATAATATACGCTCCTATTACTATTTTATAGTATATGTTATAGTTTGATGGATCAAAAAACAATGACGAATCTTGTTATTGGTAAAGAATTTTTACAACAGGGAATTTTGTTATTTGAACTCTTTTATAGATCTTCACAATCTAAGATCGCCAACCTCTTATTGCGAGATCATTAACTTTATTAGCTAGTTTACATGATACAAGTATCAATTTTTATATACAATTTCTCAACTTCACGGAAACTATGCAAGTGTGTATTTTTTTACACGATCTTACAACGTTGCTAAGACGTATTTTATTGTTAGTAGCCGGCGTACCTTTGTAGGTAAGATGTATTCATTTCTTCACATGAAAATGCTATATCTTTACTATTATTTTTATTATCGCGGTGCGTAATTGACAATTTGTCCGATGATAAATGGGTAGACCACGTTGATCCGATGTATTGCATGCATGTAAACAATTTTCCCTCCATGCCATTGATGCAGCCGATCCTTCCTCAAAATAATCACGGCCCATATAATATAGATACATCGACATATACGTACGGACAAGTCAAGATTTACCGTCTAATTTTTTTTGTCACCCAATTAATTATTGACACGTTATTTTTAAATTTACGTATCGTCTCAAATTTACTCTCGTTCACTTCATCATTAACCCACCAAATCGATAACATATCAATTTAAAATGATGTCTATGGACAATAAATTAAAGAACAAAAATTGGACAGCAATTATCAACTCTTGCTAGATACTCGTACCAGCAGTCTTTTTCTAATATTTTCATACAATTGTGCTATTTTAATCAGTCGTAATCATATGTATACAAGTGTTAAAGATTGTGCTTTACTTATTAATTATAATATAATTGTATTTGTGCTTTACTTTTTAAAATAATATTTTACTTATTAATTATAAGGAAAACCCACAAAAACCATCCATTAACACCATTTCATAAGAACCAGTAGTCCAAATTATATTATTTATTTATTTTTTGTTAATCAAGAAAACAAAATGTTAAAGATTAATCCCGGCTCCCGCATCACCTTGTTATCTTTTCTTCCCCCCCATTTTTGCCTAAGAGGTACATCGCTGACCAATTTTTCTTTAATCATACATGTTCAAATGTATACAAGTGCTGTATTTTTTTAAATTTTTTTTCCCGATTTTAAAACCTGAGAATTTGAGATTTTGGTAAATGCTGTTGAATGGATCGAGGGTTTTCAATTTCTGATCCAATTTTTTACCAATGCACGTTGGTTCTCAAGTTCCCTGTCATAATTTACCCGCGTCAAATCATTATTTTTCTATATTAATTCAGTAAAATAAGTGATCTTTAGGTTGATTTTGCATGCAATTATCTCGTGCTCATTCAGCAATGTGTTTTTGCAGACTATTTCTTTACTTGTTTGTTTTGATTAAAGCGTTAGTATAATTCAATTGTCCTGTGTTTTTTTTGTTGAGAAAAGAGTAGCATTAGCCTTTTTTTTTAAAGTGGAATGGAGAAAAAAATTATCTATAGAGAGGGTTGTGCTTCCCAGTGCCCTGATTTGGATTCACTCATCTTCTCCTGATTTTAATTGATTTTTCATGGTGTTTTGTGGAAATGTGCTGATTGATATCTGAATTCTAAGGAAGGATGAAATCTTTATGAGGTTTACAGCTTTTTTTTTTTTTTTTGAATTATTATGTTACGAAGACTTTTGTATTTGATTCTTACACTAGTATGTGCATGGGCGGACCCAATGGGGGTCTTGGGGGCAGGTGCCCCCAACTTTTGATATTCATTTTTTTTTAAATCACGTTTGTTATCGATTGAAATTTAAATTTTAATCTAAATCAAAGTTAACAATTAATTTTAGTAACATATTTTCATGAAATTCATAATTATTTAATTTGTACCCAAATTTACTAAAAATTTGATTTTAATCTCCACCAAATAGGGGTAAAATAAAAATAAATTTGANTGGAGTATGATTTTTTTGGACTTAAATTTTCGATTGTAAAAATTCCACCAATTTCTTTACAAGTTCGATTGTGCCCCCCAACGTTAAAGTCCTGCGTCCTCCCCTGAGTATGTGGTTAAAGTATTGTCAGAATATCTCAACTTCACTTGAAACATTGCATTTTGGATTTCAGTATCATTCGTGCTGTACTGAAGTAATGAGATCTACATTTTTGTTCTTTTTACATGTGCTATCACCGTCGTGGTCTAAAAGTGAATCTTCCATGGATTTTAAGCATTCAAATTGCATTAGTAGAGATTCTAGTGGCAATTGCACGTATGGTAAAGCTTGGATAGTCCAAATAATGATTTTCCGAAACTGCAGTCCTCATAATAAATAACCATGGCTCTACTCTTTGGAATTCTTCCTACCTGTACGTGGAAAAATGTCATACTTGGATGTATAAATTGCATTGGAGCACTTTGTTTTTCATGTTTTCTTAGAATGCAAGTCCTATTCAGGAAACCGTGAGCCCCAATTAATGTATTCTGCAATGCAATGATATGTAACCACGAGCCTTAGTCAGCATATAGATGCACAAGAAATATGCTTCGATGTCTTTAGTTCTTTTATTTTTTTCTCTCTCTTTTACAACAACGATTTTGTCGTTTACTATTATATGGCTGGTGAACAATGATATACTGGCATTTCAATTATTTCAGTTATTGAATTAACAATGATAGACTGTAAACCCTAATTTTATTTGGAACAAAATCTCCTGTTTCTATTCCGGGGAGTGCGTTTATTTCGTATTATAGAGTACAGTGTTAACAAATTTAACCAAGTAGTTACATGCGCTAATACCACTTGTTAGAGAATTGCAAGGTATGACAAAATATGAAGTAGCAATCACAACACAAAAAGAACATAAGAAATTTGCTGAAGAAATGAGAATTCATTATAATATAGAGAAAGAATACAACAATATTGTGTATCTAATGCTATTCGAAATCTATACAATATATAGGACTTAAAAGAATATATTTTAGATGGAAAGATGATAAAAAAATGAGTCTGAAAAACGGAAAAAATATTTTCCTGGATAACATCAGTGCTCGAGTTGTAAGAGGGCGACGGCAGCAGCAGCAACAGCACTCAGGCACATTGTTTCGGGTCCAACTTGATTCCAAATATTTTGTATGACGCCTGAGCCTGAAGCCTACCAAACCATATCATGACCTCGTTAACATCTCTTTCAACCAATTCATGAACATCCAACGGAATTTGGGTCACATATTAACAGACAGGTACTAGACGACAACCTAAAGGCCCCAAGGAAAATCGTTATATACCTCAGAAAATGTTGATGCATTTATGTAGAATACATCAATATCTAATAACTTGTGGAGGATCCCATGTGTGAGAAACACCTAATTCTTGTGGTCTTTATTTTCGAAGTCCGTTAAAGTAACTTTTAAAATGAATACAGTTTATGGCCAATTTTTTCTAGTAGCTGATTTAGTACTTCTATCAGAATGCGGAGCTACATCATTTAAACTAATGGGCCACGATACTAGCTATGTTCTTGATAATACTTTTTATTACACCAACATGTTAATATCAAGAATCAATTCCAATGAACTGAATAAAATGCACGGGTAGAAGTTGTAGTCCATCATGATCTTTCTAAAGCTATGCAGCCGATTACTGTTGATCGAGCTGGAGGAATATAAATGAAGAAAAACAAACATCGCAAAACCAATTTGCTGCACCTACGTGTTCTTTTGGCTTCTTCTACTGATTCTCTTATTTCACAAGTGCCAGTCTGGATGGGGCAAATGGTCAAAAGTTGGTTTGAGTGTTAAACTGACAGTAATTCTGCATATATAGGATGTAAACAATTTCAATTTTATTGTCATACAGGCATGGATTGTTATGATTTTTGGAAAAGATCATGGTGCAGTGCCTAGACGGATTGATGCATCTGCTTTCTGCGGTTGTGAACTGCTGTGACTCTGAAACATACAAGCAACCCAATGGCTTGGAACATCCTGAAACTCTTGCTAGGGTGACTGTATGTCATTATGGTTTCTTTCTTGGACACTAGGTTGAAACAACACTCTCATTACCATCGTGGTTTCATATTTGTATTCTTTCAAAGATGGTGTGGTTTCTCATGTTCTTGTTGCACAAAGAAAATAGCGATTAATGTTTTTTTCTGGAATAAGCTAAGAGATGTTAAACAGAATGGGGGTTTGGCGAGTTGGTGCTATTGATTACCCTGACTCAACTACATCTTCCTTACACATTTGGT